ATGATGTAACTGGTTTGAGAGATAGTCTAGCTGAAGAAAATGAAACTTATGGAAGTTTTCATGATTATATTTCTGAAGAAACAGACGAGATAGAACCACAACAGTTTCCAAATAATGCAGTGGGGATCACAAATGAATCGCTTTCTATGCAAGAACAACACAATCTATCAGGTAAGGTTGAAAACAATTGGTTTACTTGTCTGTTGAATTTATTATGTATTTCTCTATCTACCATTTACTCCTTTTTTGATGGGGTTGACATTTATATTCATAAACTTATACTCTGAACATGAAAAATATATTGTTTTTTTTTTATTTTAATTTGTACCATTTCAGTAAAGAAGCGAACAAGAGGACCGAGTTTGTGCAAAGATATCCATGACCGCACTATAGACGATCGTTCGCCTATCATTTTGAATGGATTGTGTCAGCCAATTGGGCCAGATAAGGCAACTTTAGATAAGTTTAGTCGTTTTTTGGGATCGTTAGCTCGTGATTCTAATCTTGCACCTTTAAATGAGGTTAATTGGACTCATGTTCGTGATAAGGACAAAATTTGGGAATATGTCAAGGTATATATATATATATATAATATTATGAACTATGCACAATCAATAGTTCTTTACTACCTTTTCCGATTTAGTTGACATTTACCAATACTTTAGCCGAATTTGTCTACGAACCATTTGATGTTATTTTCTTATACCCCCTAATTTATTCTTTTCTATATTTATATATTCAGACGAAGTTCGTTATAGCGGAGGAAGGTAAGACTTATGTTTTGCAGTCCATTGGGGATAGGGCGAGGAATTTCTTCGAACCCTAACTTCGGACGCTTAGATTCCACATTGAATGAGATTGGGAAAATGAAAATCGAATCAGAAAATCGATAATTTTGTATCTAACTGTATAAAGGCAGGCGCAGATCGATGAATAGGAAATGTTGTACACGTATCCTCAGTAGAGTCTTTCAGCGGCATGTTTTGGTCCTCTTCCCCATTACTTAGAAAAAGTGAGTGGAGCTCTTTGGCGTACTCATAAATCTAGAGTTAAAAAGAAGTATTACTACAACTCTAGTTCTAAAGACACAGATGATGAGCTAAAAACTATTCCTGATTCTCAATTGAAGGATTTGCAAAAATATTGGGATCTGGAAGAGGTTCAGGTAAAATTTTTTCATCTTGCATTTTAGTCTCTATGGCTCAACGTTCAGGTAGAAATCACAATCAAATTCATAAGGCCAATCAATGTTCCCAACCTTTCTTAATATTTATTCAGAATATGTGAATATTTGTGTTAAGTATCTATACCTTTATAATTTGTCTGAACATCTAGTATTTGTTCCTTTTTCCCAACTCTTTATATATAGTAAAATTCATTTCTTATTTTCAATGAAATTTAATGTTAAAGAAAGTTGTACATGTAGATGAACTCTCAAAAGAAAAGAGAAGCCAGCCAGAGTCGAATAAATAGACACACTATGGGTCCTATTTCCTTTGCAAGAAAGCGTCATGAGTTAGTAAGTCTCCTTTCCATTTATACTTAATATTCTGCATGTTATAAATCCACAAATAAGTAATGAAGATACAAGATATGTATAGATAGTTTCACACCAACACACAAATTATATATGTAGGTTATCTATGTCTATCTGTTAAGATTTCACAACAAGTGCCGATTTTAGTTACAATGTACAAAAAAATCATTGTAATTGCTAAAAAGTTTCTTTTGGGATTTTTTGTTTGTTTACTTCTTTTAACAGCAACAAGTTGATGGTAAGCCACCTTCTGTA